TCATGGTCATTTGAGTTTGAGACCCCTGAGCTAACCTGAGTTTGGGAGGCAGTTCTCCAGGTGAAGGAGGAGCGACTACATGACCCTTGGGGTGAGCTTGTTGGCCGTAGCACAGGCGCTGACTCTTGTTTTTGCCAGCGAGTGCTTTTGAAGAGGTGTGTGTTTGGGGAGGGTGGAGGGGGCACTGTGCTAGTTTTGGCGGGGGGTGGAGGCTATTTTCAGAATCTTTATATACTTTTCAGATTCTAGTTACAGAATGTGTCTATCGTTGGTATCTTCACACTTTTAATGATGATTAAACTGTTATGAACTATATAACCAGGGGCTAGGGCTACTCAGGGAGAACCAAGTTTTTAAAAGCCTGCTCCTAAGCCACCAGAGGAGCTAGGGATCAGGAAAGATTTGAGGGGGATTAGAGGAGGGGGTAGATAAACTTCATTAACGTTCTTTAAACTTAAGGCAATGGAAAAAAAAAACCCTGATACAAACAAAACAAGAAAGGAAAGAGCTGCAGGAGTAAAAAGAGAATGCAGGCACAAATCCAGCAACAGATTGGGGGGCTATCCAGTTTCTTGCACTGAATGCAGCATGGATGATTACCTGGCTTATGGGCGGGTGGCAGACTGCTATAACATGGCAAGCCATGCAGTAAGTTGTTGGACCGTCTCTTCCTGTTGTAGCTCTGAGGGAGTTGAGTGGGATGGAGGACAGAATCCTTCAATGACTTTGACCGCCTTGTAGACAGGCTCACTGAAGACCTGTCTGCAGAAATTCCATGAGGAAAGAATGGAAATCCAGGGAACACAGCGACTTCTCACAGAACCCCTGCGTCTAGCTATAACTACAGCCGGGAAGCCGGGAGAGGAAACACCCAAGTTCCGGCAGCAGATTCCAGGATCCAGAAGCAATAATGGTCAAACTGTCCTAAGGCTATGAGGAAGATCCTCGATGGGCCCTCATCCTACTGTGCCATCCCACCCGAGAGACTCTTCTCCTACTCCATGGCTGTGTTTGACCGTGTAGTCCAGAATGATGCACAGCGTTTGGGATGCATTTTGCCCCTGCCCCAGCTCAGCCATGAAGAGGGTCTGGAAGAACACTTTACGCTACAGGAAATAGTAACAGACTGCTAAAGACACAAAATATAGCCCCAGGAAAGGAAGGCATTTGGTACAACGACTCCTGGAAAAAACACAGATCCTGGTTGCCTGGTGC